TTTACACTTAGAGACAAAATGTGAAATGAATATATTCATGATAGGGTTGGCGTAGCTTCTGTGACAGACAAAATTAGAGAAAGTCGTCTTAGATGGTTTGGTCATATTAAACGTCGACCATTAGATGATCCGATTAGGAGAGTAGATGTTTTAAATTCGACTTGTGTTAAGAAAGGCAGAGGTAGACCTAGGAAGACTTGGGCTTATTGTATTAAAAATGATCTTAATTTACTAGAACTAAATGAAAATATGACACTAAATAGGACGCAATGGAAAAAAAGGATTCATGTGGCCGACCCCACGTAGTGGGATTAAGGCTTTGTTGTTGTTGTTGTTGTTGTTGATTTATATATCTTACATCATTCCAATTGCATTATGAAATTCCAACCGTAAAATGTCATATATCAAATTGGTATCAAAGCTTATTATTATATTATCTAATCAATTAAATGTAGGACATATAAGTTGGGCCAAAAAAAAAATTTAATTAATGAGGTAATTAAAATAAAATTTTACAAACTATGGTTCTAACCAAATATAATAAGGCTATATTCCAATATTCAATGAGAAATAAAATATTAAAATTATAAATAAGGTAAATAAAGCAATGTTAGAGTATCATGTAAGGTTTATAAATCTTTCAAGTATTATGTACCATAAGATTATTTTGTTACAATCATTTATTTTACTAGAGGTCCTTAAAAATTGGGGCTAAATTTAACAATAATTCATCCAAAATATTGCATGAGGTTTTATATATAGTTCGGGCTATTGCGATAACTATTACACTTCTTTTCTAAGTCTATAAAGAAAAAAGAAACAATGTCTTGTCCTCTGAAGCATGGTGCATACGCACCAACATAAAAATCACGATTAATTGACAATGTAGTTTATAAATATTCATGAGATAATATTTTAGATGCAGAAACTGATTTGGAGTCACATTATGAAAGTACATCTGCTAATTTTGAATATGAACCTGTATATATACTTGGGCAATAATCAAAATTTGAATTATAAATTGAAATTGGACATCTGATCAAGCCTGAATTTAAATTTTCAACAGAAATTGAACCTATTTCTAAATATGAAGATGAACAAATCATATGCCATGTAATTGATGAATTAACTGAGCAATCTTATAATAAATTTTTTTATGAATTAGAAATTTATATTATTTCGATGATAAATGATTAGATTGATGATTACTTTATTTTTGGTTCGTGATTTAATGACATAAAAATTCATAAAATGAACTTTATGATGAGAGTTAAGTAGAATCAATATTTCAATCAATTTCTTAATTGCAAATATATTAAAAGGAATTTTAAATATAAAATTCTATCGATATGGTTAATCAGTGCATTAAATGTAACTAATATTTAAGCCAATTGGGTTATTTTTTTAAAGAGATTGTCCGCCCTCACAAATATAATCATTGTGCGGTTTGCCCGCTTGCAATCACATTACTATTTTCATATAATAGTCAGCTATGACACTAGTCCAATATTACTATCCTCAGGGCGCATTTTAATTTTATTATGTTCATTAATTGATAACGTTAACATGATTTATATGATTATGGATTTTGTAGAAAATGGAGTGCTAAACAATGACAGTTACAAAGTTTCTACCAATGTGAACAAAAGCAGCATGCACATTCAACGTAGTGATAAAATCATGATGTGTTTAAATTCAAAAAGTTTTCTATCAAGAACCTTTAAGAAATTAAATACAAGAAAAGCAAGGCCAATTAAAAACTTATAGAACATTGAAACTAATGTTTTAAATTGAAAATTTCCAAATATTCAAATATTAAACCAATTTTAATCTATTTGATTTGATCATATTTCATGAGCCAATTGCAATTAATTCCTTAGATTCTACTCTCTTTTCATCTCCTTATGAACCTACAACCAAGTTTCTAGTAGATAAATCTATATACAACTTTATAAGATTATTTTGAATGACGAGAATCTGTCCATAGGGTTCTAAAGATATCTCATTCACCACTAAGAAAGGCATTTCTAATGAATCATAAATTATTCCACTGTAAGCACAAATTCGAAATTACTTCGCAGATATTATAAGACCAATACATCAGAATCAAAAAAATTTCAAGCAGGGCATTTTATAAAATGTCTATAACAAAATTCTAGTGTCGCTAATCTTATAGCAAGTTTACGATTATTTAGTCATTGATAGCATGAAGCAGAGTTCAAGTTCCAACTCTTTTAGTGGGTGTGGGATTTCTATGGTGTAATTTCTAAAATAGATCACATGTAAAAGATTCAAGGTTCTCGTTCCTATTGTGGGAATTCAACAAAATGAAGTTTCTTTCGTATTACTAACTTAAACAGAACAAACATTGAAGTAATTAAAGTCTATAAATGTAGTTTCTAAGGCATAAAATTGGATATATATGATTGAATAAAAAATTTCTTCCCATTTTATTATGAAGCGAATAAGTTAGATATATGATTCCTTCGATTATGATGCAAGCGTAACTACTTAAATCTCAAGAAAAATTATCTCTTTATGCCAACAAGAGACTTGACTTTCTTACAATGGTGACATATTTCCCTAACCCAACTTCTGCCACAAAACTTGTTATTAGCTTGCTAGTGCTCTTATTTTTGTTCAAATTTCACAAAACTGAAACCTATTAGTGATGTAAATTACAATTGTCTGTTGATTTTTCACAGCTCACATTTCATCAGTTTTTTTTTTTTAATTCAATCACTAAATTATAGTTCACCATCCAATTCTCATATTTATTATTTTCCTTTAATCTTATTTTGTGGTTTGTGAATAGTGAATCCTAATTTTTCTTATATGATTCATCACATAATTGTAATTGCACATAAAGCATCTTGCACCACTAATGGTTGTATGTGATGCAAGTTTAATTTCTGGAAAGGGTAAAAGCCTAGCCTAAGGGCCTAAGATGTGCTATACACACAAACATCAAGAAAGAGATGGCTGCCACATGTAAGAAAACATCAAGAGATAGCTGCCATATAAAAAAACAATTCTCAGTAGTTTGAATTTGAAAACTTCTACAGTGGGAAAATAAAAGTTAATTCAAAATCTGAAGCCAGACCTCAAAGCTGATTTTATCTCTTAAAATGAACTCAAGAATGTTAACCATGACACTTAATGCTAAACATCAATCTGACCTTTATATCCATGAAACTTGAGAGTTAACCATCTAATGGACCCACATATTTGAAAGATTTAAAAACCAGAGGAGGAAAACATTACAAAAACCAACAAAGAGAGAATGAACTTTAATTGATTACCAAAGAGAAAAAAAAAAGACTTGTTGGAACGAGAATGCTTAAGCATCAGATAAAATTCACAAAATTAAAAACAAAGATAAGACACAAGTATACGCATTCAACCAAAAATCTTTTTGAACTGCTAGTATCATGCATTTTTCAATGACTGATGTGCAAGAAAAACAGTTCAGCTTCTCCCCCAAAAAAAAAAAAAAAAAAAAAAAAAAAAAAAAAAAAAACCTTACACCATAGTTTTGAAATGTAAAAATAAACAAACCAAAGGTATTTGAAAAGTACCTGATATCAATTGCTAGTACATCAGAATTTGTCTGGGAAGGTGGTGCAGAGTAATTTGGTGCATACATCTGTAAAGGGAATAAGTTACAATTCCTTAGATATGCTTAACCAAATGGAGAAGGTGGCAACATACAAATAAATTTTATAGAGTTTACTTGAAGAAACTTGGGAGAAGCGACCTTTGTTTTGGAAGAAGTGGCTTAAACTATTTTGCATCAACTTATCATAAACAAAAACTGGTTTACAACAAATTCTTAATGTTGAAATTCAGAATAATGCGGAATAAAGTGGAATACTTAATTGTTTCATTGATATGAACGAGGGTATAAGAAACCATTACAACAATCCTATAATAGGAAAAATAATTAAAAATAAATGACATGAAAGGAAAGATATATCACCTGATATCTTCAATAATCAATTCATATTAATTATTAAGAGATATAGGAAATAACATAAAATAGTAAAACAAATAATTCCTAATCCAAGAAAAAAATATCAAATAGGAAAGTAAATATCTCCTTAATCTAAGGAAATAATTTATTCCTAATAACTTGTTACAGGAATTAATTATTTCCTATTAAAATTCCTGACACTCCCCCTCATGTTGAAACATGGTTGAGCAGTATAAAATTAAAATAAGATAAATCCTAAGAAGTCAATCTACCAATAAAATAATCCTAAGAAAAGGATAATTCTAACTTTAATTTTCAAGACATACATAAAAAAAAAAGGAATAAAAATACTAGAATAATGGAAATGCAATCTTTGGATTTGCAACAACAGAAACTACTTGAAAACTTCATGTAGTAAATTGAAAAATAACACAACTCATCTGACAATTTGATTTCTTAACAACTTGCAACAAGGACATTTTCAAATAAATGTAAAACAATAAGAAGTTGTCCATTATTAGAAATTTTAAATAAAAACTCACACTCTGCTTAACAGTCTATTGTCTATACTTTGCCTAAATATATAACATAAATCCTTGATAAGAGAATGTACAAGGAAACTAAGAAAAAACAAAGATAAAAGAGCTTTTTCCTTCAATAAAAGGCAAAAAAATATCTTTCAACAAAGGAACATGCGGTAAACTACAACATGAAAGATGTAAACATGCAATTCTCATCTCAAACACTATGTGGAATGCTTTCTTCGATTTAAGGAAGCCAACTTAGGCAAGTACGCCTTAAATGGCTATATAACCTGGTTGCATATTTCGCATGTAATATCCCCTTTCTTATTGCACCACTTCTGTATACACTTCCTGTGGGCAAACTGCAAGAAAAAATTGTTTGAAAATTCAATCACAAATTGAACATAAAAGAAGCATTGAAAAGGCATTAGGAATTAAGCTCGATGCAATAGGAATTCAAAAGGCAATAGGAGATTAAGCAAGAGTTAATCAAAAGTAAACACAACAAAGAGATGTCATGGGTGGAAGACTTCAAAGTAAAGAAGTTTTCTCATGAAAGGTAATTTTTTTCTTAGATTCAGACAACATAAGAATTTTGAAAGACAAGCAGAAAAAGGCATCCAAAAACCAAAAAAGATAGACCAACAACCTAAATTATGCCATGAATCTAAAGATCAATCATGGAGACATATGACAGACAAATAGCAATCATCTAAACTACAAACAAGTAATTTATAAATGAGATATCCTTTGCAATTTAAAAATATGCTCATCTAGGTGCCTAAAACATTACACAATGAGGTAATTTTCCATCAACATTGGGACTGAATTCACAAATAAAGATGAAACTAACTTTTTGGTAAAGCAAATTATTTCTGAATCACTGATATTTGAATCAAATTTATGTTGGTATTACAAAGACAAGAACAAAACACTGTAATTCCATTAAGTGGGGTCAACTACATGAACCTTTTTCTCCACCGTCCTCTTGAGTGTCATAATTTCATGTAATTCTAATAAATTAAGATAATTTTTTATACAACATGTCCAAGCCTTTTTAGGTCTTGAATCAAATTTATGTTGGTATTACAAAGAGAACAACAAAACGTTGTAATCCCATTAAGTGGGGTCAGCTACATGAACCTTTTTCTCCACCGTCCTATTGAGTGTCATAATTTCATGTAATTCTAATAAATTAAGATAATTTTTTATACAAAATGTCCAAGCCTTTTTAGGTCTGCCTCAATGTTTCATAACACAAGTCAAATCTGAAATATTTATTCTCCCAACTGGGTCATTTGGTGGTTGACGTTAAATATGACCAAATCATCTAAGTCAAATCTAGACATTTATGTTGGCATTATGGCTTCAAAATCAGTTTAAGTTATTGATAATAATATTTGAACATAACTAATTAAAAATACATCAAATTAAGGGATCTTTAATTAACTCTTCATAATGTTTGAAGTATATGAACAAGAGTTCAGCTCTTAGAGGCCAAACTGCAATTTTCCCACCAAGCACAAATACGCAATGAGATACTAATAAATTCTATTGCAGCATTTAACATCAAAGCAATTCAATATTTTTATAGTATCTCTCATAATTCTCAACATAAAATGAAAATGCTCAAGCACTTCTTTATCATGTTCTTCTAGTGACATCATTGCATGACGATAAATCAAGAAATTTCACCAGTTAGGCCACTCCAAAGGGACCACATACTAGTATTGCTTAGCATCTCTCCAAAGAGACAACATATTATCATTACTTAGCACACCAATTATAACTAGGAAATCGAGACACAACTAAGACAACTAACTTATAGAGTATGGAATTAGTTGCACAAAGAACTCAACACAAAGCATATGCTGGCTAAAAATCAAGCATAGTTTAAAGAACAAATTAAATTAAGCCCATCATGTCCTTAACTACATATTTACCATACATTTCTCAAAGATTCCTCACTGAAGCACTCAATAAAAGCAAATTAGCCCAGCAAATAACAAGCCATTAACAATCTTGGAAAATCCAAACCAATTCTTCAGGTTAGAGCAACAAATGCAAATTAAAGCACGCCATCCTCCTTTAAAACAAAACAAATTGAATAAAAACAATTAAATACTTCCAATCCTTCCATTTGTTCATCAGTCCAAAATAAACAAACATGCGATGAATTCAATATCTATAAGCACAAATACAAAACGAAAACCCAGTCAATAGAAATAAGAAGAAGCATATTTAATTACCAAAACATATCTCAGGAAGACAAAGTTTAAAATTTAAAAAAAAAATGAAACAATTTGCACAAAAATCATGAATCATGAGAAAACTATGACAAAAATTTTCACTCATATACCACAAAATACATTTTGTCCCTCCAGCCAAGCAATCAGCACAATAACAACCAGGGTTTCTCCGATATGACGAAGAAAATGAAAAAAGAAAAAAGCAAACTTCTCGAGAAGTGAGAAAAAAGAAGAGGGAAAAAGACCTTAAGGGTTCCACAGCAAGCACAAGGGCTCTCCATGTCGCTCTCAAACCCTTCCTCCTGGCAAATTCTGCACTCAACCATCTCCCTCCCTCCTCCCTTCTTCTTACCAAACTTCACCTCTCCCTTCCAGCTGTCCGAGCACTCACCCTCCTCCTCAGCCCCCGCCGGAGCACTGTAACCGCCATCAACTCTAGCCGCCGGCCCGTTTCCAGCGTCGAAGCAGGCGGACGCTATGATCCTGTCAACGCACACCATAAACTCGCCCACAACCCCTCTCTCCATCTACTTCCCTCTCTCTCTCCCGAACCCTTCTTCTGAAGAGCGGTAATGGCAGACCGAAGTGGGGGAACTTCGGGGTACTTTAGAGAGAAAAGGATGAGTGGAGGGAGGAAAGAAGTAAAATGATACTGTGGAATTACATAAATACCCTTTTTAAGTGAACAGCCAAATGGAGCTTATAGCCGTGGACACTTTTTATTAAAATATCACATATTAACTTATCTCAAATCATCCATATGATCATCCATAAGGCCTCAGCTTTGGTTCTTATTTGTCACTAAATCAGTCTGACTTATAACGCTTGAGTTTGTAAACACACATCACATAGAAGAAAAATAGGAAGAAGTATTATAGAAAGAAAATACTTCACTAAAAAAGAATGATTACAACACTTGAATGCTTGGAACTTTAGATTATTCTTGGATGCCTCCAAATGAGAGGGAGGAACTCCTATTTATAGTCCTCCCAAACCTGAGAGAAATTTTTAGATCACATTAGAATTGTTTGATTTCTAGATAGTTCTATACTAGTCACTTATAGGCATACATAGCGCTAGACTTTTCTAGATTATTCTTGAGTTATCCTTGGAGCTTTTTCCTTCTAACATTTTTCGTTATATGGTGGAATCTTTTAGAGTTACTTGGATTGCTCTCATCCATCTGATCTTGTCTAGAACATTTCATCTCATTGTTGTCTTGTCGATTTCTTAATATAGATCATTAGAGAAATTCTTGTAAAAGTGACGTCTCTAAAAATTATGTTATAAAGTCTCGGTAGATAAATTTATATCCCTGTTTGAATATAAATTTTGCTCCCTACGTGTCAACACTACTAAAGAATATTAAGTTCAGATTTCAGACGCAAGCTGATATTTTTTCCTGCACTACAATGCCAATTGACCTTTATGATTGAATGTAGAGGAGAAGAGAGAAAGAGGAGACATCAAAACAATTTTGAACCAAGCGGAAAGGGTGGCCACAATGGCAAAGGAGGTCATTTTTTTATTTGGTGCTAAGTTTAATTTATGTCCAATTTATATTATTTTCATCCGTGAAATTTGACTTGGCCGCGCTGCTTTTAAAAGTGACATCTAACGGTTTTACGATTTTTAAGATTTATATCTCGCTATGAGATATATTTTATAATTTTTTCTTTCATATTGTTCATTTGTGCGTTGTCGGTATTATTAAAATCATTCAAATATTTTTTTAATAGTTTTTTTTTTTGCATACATATTTTTTATTCTTAATAGAATATGAAACAATTTTTTGATAATCTATTATAAATTTTATATTGTAACGAGAGATATTTTTAGGCATTTGTATCAAAGATTAAGGGTCTGTTTGACGTAGCTGTGGATTATTTATAATCTGCTGATAAGCAGATTATTCTGATAATCTGCAGATTATCAGAATAATATGGCTTGTTGTTTGTGACAGCTTGTTTAAAGTAGCTTATTGGTGGTTAAATGACATTCCTGCCTTGGGCAGCTTATTCAGAATAGCTTATTGGTAGAAAAGAAACATATAGTGCAGACACATACGATAATGACAGAGATGTTCTAAAAGATATCTTACAGTTCTCACATCCTAACGAGTACTAGGAGAACTAAAAAAGTACAAATACAAGTACAACAACAAGTAGAAATATTGAAATATTTAACATAAGACTCTGGCTACGTCGATCCTCAACTGCACGGTCAGCCTGAGAAACCATCAGATTCACATGACTGCTGGCACGACTACTGACAGTGTAATATGTCGGACTATCAACCCACCGGAAGAAACCGCAACGAGCTGAAACACCTCTAGCACAACCATAGAACTGCCTCCCAAAGCTATGCTCCTTACGCAATGTTAGCAACGGAGATGGTAGTCCACAATAACACAAAATCCCTCTGTCTGTGTCTGATATCCTAGAAGTCATGTTTGTATAACTGCGAAAATAACAAAAGAGTCAATGTCGGTTTAAGGTATTATAAAAGTAACCAAAATTAAATACATATGAATATCAACCTATAACCTTATTAAAGGAAAACTTGGTAGATCAACAACCACAAATA